AAAACAAAAACAAAACAAGGTCTTACTGTATAGCACAGGGAACTCTATTCAATATCTTGTAATGACCTATAATGGAAAAGAATCTGAAAAAGAATATATATGTAACTGAATCACTTTGCTGTACACCTGAAACTAACACAGCATTGTAAATCAACTATACTTCGATAAAAAGAAAAATGTCTCCAGACATTGCCAAATGTCTCCAAGATTGGGGGATGGGGTCAAAGTACCCTCAGTAGAGAGCCACCCTATTAGATCAAGTAGAAATCCAGACTTTCTTTCCTTTAAACGTATTCCAGCGTGGTGCCGAGGACGGCCTGTGATCTTGAAGCTAGGTTGTCTGGCTATAGATCCCTGTCCCTACATTTTATAAAAAAGTGATCTGGGATGCTGAGTCTTATGCCTTCAGCCCCTGGAGGGGGCTGTGGGTTGTATTAACTGTTTTCTAGAGAAGCTTCTACTCTGAGCTCAAGGTGCTATTGCTGCTTTCCTATATAAATGAATTAAATCAACTAAAACAATCTATAAACTCTGCAGGGCTCCATATGCAAGGAAAACATGAAAAATGAGTCTGAAAGTGAAAAATCAGTGATGCCGTAATGTGTGAATTTTAAAATCAGTTGAATTTATTACAAGGTCAGCAGTAATGGTGTATTAATACCCCAATCTATGCCATGGGACAAGCAGATTTTTAGAGTGTGTGTGATGAAGGGGAGGGGTGGAGTGTGTAGTAGAGTCCGTCTCAGGAGGCGCCCCATACTGTTGATTCTGAATGCTGTGAAGGATGCTCACGCCCTGACTTGCAGGCTCAAGTTTAGAAACTTCTCTCTGTAGGCCAGATCCCAAGTTCACCAGTAGATGTCACCCTGGTCCCACCAAAGTTTCTCACTGACGCACACCAGAAAGTTTCAGGGTCCACGGAAGCAGGTTGAGGAGGAAATCAGAGATGAGATTAGCTTCTTCTTGGTCACAAAGGATAAAGTAGGGATAGGATGCTGTGAGGATGAAGTGAAATGGAGGACCTTGTGCAGAGTTGGGGCTACAGAAGATAAAGTTGGTGCACCCCCGAAACACCCCTGAATGCCACTGTAGTGTTGTTCATGCATCTCAGCACCTATGGCCTCCTCCAGTCTGCTTTGCCCTAAGGTAGAGAGAACCAGAACTGCCTGGAGATGATGTCCCACCACTGCAACCCTTAAACAATGACCAATGGGCCAGAAGAACGCTCAGCTGCCTTGACTCGGTCTGGATGGCCCCCGAAATGTCACTTCCTGCACCTGAGCCCTGGGTGGGTGGAGGCTGGAGCAATGGCTTCAAGGCCTTGCCTGGTTTGCTCCTTGTTGAACTGCACCCCTCCAAACCGTCCCCCCTGTCTCCCCCTGCCGCCTTCCTGCTGCCCCTGTCTCCCTCACCTGCTTCCCCTTGGAAGTCATTCTTCCATAAATCACTGTACATGAAACCTCATCTCAGGGTCTGCTTCTGGGGAACCTCATCTAAGACACTGGTTTACAGTTGATGCGCAAAAAAAGTTGGTTCCTTTCCCCCGTGATCATCTATCTATCTGTCTGCTTCAGGTAACAGTGGGATTTGGGAACTCAATTACCCAGAGTGGCCCCAGGGCGCCCCTGCCTTTTCCTGAAGGAGGACCAGCATCACGAGTCTATCCAGCTGACCTGTTCTCTGTCTGCTGCCCCTCTGAGCCCGGCTGAGGCTGGTTCTGGGAACCAATGTGTCTCTTGTGGTCCTTGGGAGTCAAGATTCAAGGTTTTGTCTGCTGATCCATTTATGCTGGCACTGATACTAGTAACCTAAGGCTCAGGGAAAGATCCAGGAGCAGATTAAACGACCCTTCAGTCATTTTGGAGTCAGGAGGGGCAGAAGAGAGGAGAAACAGCAGGAGAGCATTGACAAGGGCTGAGTGACAGTGGGTCCAGGGACCCTGACTCAGGCTTTCTGTCTTGGGTTTGTAGAAATTGAAAAGCTGGCACGCAATTTTTTTTTTATTTTCCAGCTTGACATAGGATGGCTCAAACAAATTAACATTCCCATCTCGACTGACTCATTTGGCCAGAATAAATTCACATGCTGCAGCAAATAGGAAAAAAGGGAGAGAGAGGGTAAAAGAGATGGGGGCGGGGCGGGGGGAGGAGGGGGAGATGTTAACAACACAAGCTCATTTTTTACCTCCAAAATACACTGGCTTTAGCGTAGCACACTCTTGAGAAAAATGATTAAAACAATTGCTCACATGTGACAGAATAGTCATTTCCATTTAGAAAAATGTTTAAATCATGGGTTGGGGAGCCTTCCCTGTCTTTATTCATAATGGGTTAGAGTGTAGGTTATATAAAGCGTGTGGATCAATAGATCATTTTCCTGATTAAATTACCGCTACACCACTGTATTTGTAGGTGATACAGCTGAGAAGACGTAGTAGCATGGAAAGGCCTTTAAGTCACGAAAATTGTATTTCAAGGGTAGAACATGGAATAGTATTAGTTTGTGTGATTTTCCTTTCTCTCTTTTTCTTTTTCAGCATTTCAGATAGATAAGTCTGCTTGTTGAAGAAATGAGATTTTTTTCTTCCTAGTGCTGGCTCCTACGTCTTCTTTCCATTCAGAGCTGAAATACCCACTCCCTCCAGAGATTTGTTTAAATACTACATGAACTAGCTTCCTATTTCCCTGTATTGAACTGGATCCATGAGGGCACAGCCAATAAACACGAGAAGCAATAAATGCCCACACTTATCAAGGGTCAGGAGCGCGTGACACCCAAGGCACTGACACCTTCAATTTGCCTTTTCCTAAGCCTATGAATTATTCTAGGCTTTTCGAAAACTTGACTGCACAAAACCAGCTGCTGAATGTAACCACACTGTGAACGATGAACTAAGTCAACTGTGACTCAAGTATGTTTTGCACAAACTGTCTTCACAAAAGCCACTGGGGCAGGGAAGGGGGTGGGGACGCTAAAATATGGATACCTGTGGTAGAAGTTGACTGGAGGCCTGACCATCCTGGCAATCCCCTCAGTGACTCCGTTTCACTTTGCCATTTCACGTAGCAAGTTGGAAGAAACCCTTGTTAGGCCTGGTTAGGAAAGGGTCTTATGAATTCACGGCCAGGAATGGAAAAGATGGATCTCTAATCTTAATATCTGATGGGGATTCTGATGTACCTCTTGCAGGTTTGCAGAGAGCAAAAGCAGCTTGCCTGGGACTCTCCTGGCAGTCCAGTGGTAAAGAATCCGCCTTCCAACGCAGGGGACGCGGGTTCGATCGCTAGTTGGAGAACTAAGATCCCACATGCCAGGGTGGGGGGCAACTAAGCCCATGTACCACAACTACTGAGCTCGCGCGCCTCAACGAGAGAGCCCATGTACCACAAACTATAGAGCCCATGCGCCCTGGAGCCCACTCCACAGCTAGAGAGAAACCTGAGCAGGCCACGCGCCCTAACGAAAAAGATTCCGCACGCCACAAAAAGATCCTGTGTGCTGCAACGAAGACCCAACGCAGCCAAAAAACAAAAAAAAGAAAGAAAGAAGGAAAATAAATAAATAAAATTAATATTTTTAAAAAAAGAGAGAGAGATTTACTTAAAAAAGAAAAAAAGCAGCTCGCCCAGCCACCAGCCCCTTGAACAAGAGGTATGACTTTTAACAAAAAGGAACGCTATTACATTAGTAATATGCTGCCCAGTAGTGGGGAGAGATGAGCTCACCGTGCTTTCAGCAGGTAATCAAAGCCTTGCCTTAAATTGCCTTTTTCTTGCCTTTTGCTGAATGTTTGTTCCAGGGAAATAGCCAAGGGAGGGAATTCTGAAGCCTGTACTCTGAAAACGAGGTGCCTTGCAGAACAATGGACTCGTTAATTGGGTCAACCTTAATAGTTTCTGCAGGACTGCAAGAGATTTACCCCAAAAGACCTCTAGCCACTAATTTATTAGTCATCCCAAGGATATGTCACAATTGCAGGCACTCAGAAGGAGTGGCTGAAATCAAGTGAAGTCGCTCTTTGCTGGGCATGAGATAGCAGGGAGAGTCTGATGGCCTCCTGCCATTTGCAACATCCTTTGAGGACGCAGGAGGGTGAGAGAGGGAAGAATTTGAAGAAAGAGAGCACTGAGGCTTATAAGGGGACAATATCTCCCTGGTGCCCAGGTATTTTTAAATGTTTCTTTGACAGAGCACCAGAGGCATTTCCCTGGTAATGAAGGCAGGGAAGAGGTACCATCTCAGACATTAAATATAACGTTTGTCAAGCTTGTGTGTGTGTGTGTGTGTGTGTGTGTGCGCGCGCGTGCCTGTGTGTCTGCATCTTTGTGCTAAGTATTTGCAGAATGTCTTGCAAACAACTTCAAAGAACCTAGGGAGAAAAACATAAGTGTTCTGGAAAGAAAAGGTGCTCAAGATATACTTTTGGTTCACTTAAAGAAAAATCTGTAGTTCTCCCAAGGTTTCAAAAATGTTTTAAAAGCCTCTTAAATTAAAAAAGTTAATTTTACTAGCATTTATTACACGCCTACTGTGTACTGTGCACTGTGCTGTGTGATTTTACAAACACTATCTCATTTAATTTAATCCTCATAATTACCCTCAAAGTTAGTTATTATTATCCTCAAAGGCATTATTCCCACGTGTAGATGTGCAAATTGGGAAGCAAGAAGTTAAATGACACAAACATGGTGACACAAACAACAGAAGTCTGAGCCTTCGTCCCACACAATATGGAAGAGTCACAAGGGGTCTAAAATCTACAATGATTCCCACTGCAGGAATTGCACTGGCTTTGACATAACATGAGGCATGAACCAAGTGCAGCCTGTTTGGATTACTTGTATTTATTATATTTGACATAGCAAAAGTGTATCCAATATAACATCATGTACTCTAGTAATCTATACAGAATAACCTCCTCGTTAGGATACATTCTGCTCACGCATACCTTTTTCAAGAAGGAGTGGAAACCACAGTACCTCAGTCTCCACCTGGGTCTCTGTTGTGATCCGAGGAGGCGTTCTCTCTTCCCAGTGGCTGCCTGCACTGCCATGTGCTTTGGGTCTTGTACAAGGCTCTCAACAGAGTGAGGGTCAAAATGTCTGGCCAGAGACCTGAACTTCCAGCATCCAGAGAGCAGAGAGACAGCATCCGGCTCTGCAGATACAGCGCGTGCCATCAAGGTACGGACCCCAAGTCCTCACGCTCTGGTGGGGCACCCCCTTTCTGAGCTGGATTTCCCAAGAGGCATTGTAATTCACACCCCTGCTAGGATGGCGATATACAAATGAGACAACCCTACTTGGCCAAGCCTAAATACGATTAGTTTACAGCTGAAGCCCATCTGGCTCTAGGTTTCATGGGTGAGCAAATTATATATGTTGATCTTTAGAAGGTGTGGTGACCCTCACATGCTGGTGTTGATGAAGGGCTGTGGCCAGAACTGGGATCTCAAATCTAAATTATACACGTATATTGTACACCATATCCCTGAATGGCTGGTGGAATGACTTGGGACTATGAGAATTTCAGGTGATTTTTTTAAAAAAAAATGAAACTAGGAAAAAGTATACAATCTGGAAAATGTTACAAATATCTTTGATGTAGACGTTCCAGATGGTCCAATGGGGAACTGCAGTTTCTGATCAGTGAAGCATCTGGAGGGTTAGAGCACAACTCCAGGAGTGATGGCCATTCTCATGCAGCCCTCCTGGGTCAGATAATAGTGGCTGCCATGTAGGGGTCCTACCATGTGCAGACCCTGTGCACACGTTGTATTTAAAATTTGCAACAACTCAGCCACGAAGTTGTCATTAACCCCTTTTATTTTTTGGCCGTGCTGCACGGCATGCGGGATCTTAGTTCCCCAACCAGGGATAGAACCTGAGCCCCCTGCAGTGGAAGCGTGGAGTCTTAACTACTGGACTGCCAGGGAAGTCCCTAAGGCCTTTTATAGTCAAGAAAACAGAGGTCCCGAGAGGTTAGAACCATATTCAGGCATGCACAGATAGGAAACGGCGGCACTGACATGTACATCCCACATTCTTCCATGGTGCCCTGGGCTCTGTTCTCATCACCCAATTTTTCTGAGCCACCAATTCCACACATCCCATAAGCAAGATTTCAGGTTTTTGCCTGCCAGCGTCCACCATGCCCTGACTCTTTTCGCCTTCGATGGCTTCCTGTACTGGCCTTGTCCTGCGCTGGTACCCACTCTGAGTAGCCCTGCTCTAGGCAGTCTCCCACTTGCCCTAAGTGGGCTCATGGAATCGACTTGTCTACGCTACTCATGTCCACTCCCCGTATTGTTTCCTTATTCTTCCATAAGCAGAAGTCTTATGGAATTAAATGTGTATGCTTTTCCCCTATTCATCTGTCCTACACCAGTTTTAACTCTTATGTCCAGCCAAAGAGCCTAGAAGAGTAGAAGGAAGTTTTTCCCTTCCTACATGTGTCCATGAATCCCTGAGGGTCTTGTTAAAATGCAGATTTTGATTCAGAAGGTCTGCAGTGGGCCCTGAGACTCTGCTTTCTAATCAGCTTCCAGGTGAGGCCATTCTGCTACTGGTCCAGGGATGGCATTTTGCTTTCCCAGAGCCTAAAGATGGTGTTTAAAGTTCCTGCAAGTGCTTTCATTCTTTTACTGCAGATAAGCCCCTAGGAGATTTAAATCAATCAATGACCTCGAACTCCTACATGAGACCAGTCCTGGGGGTGGGAGCAGATTTGGGCCAGGAGGGAGCCTATAGCTGGAAGCCGTGTGCCTGGGGCACTCCAGGCTGGATACCTGAAGCCAGACAAATAGGGGCTTTGGACAGAGTGAGGGTGCAATGGGGGTGCTGGGTATCTCGAGGGGTGATGGGGTGTCTGGAATGGAGGGCCAGCAAGTAAGAGGCAGAAACAGAGGTTGGATAAATGCCTCTTAGCTTAAAATTGTGTTGAGAGCTCTAGATGTTGCATGAAATCTTGTACGGAATAAAGTGAGATAGAAAAAAAATAGTAGGTGGGTTTGGGTTTGGGGGCTTTTTCTTGGGGGCGGGGTACCATTTTATTTGACTGACCTCCCTAAGAGTTTGGCAAAAACATATTCACCTAAAGTCACAATGGGCACAGCTGGAAAATGACTCTGGGGTCCAAGTCTCCAACTTGTCCTAAATGCCCTTCTCTTCATGATTGTGGGATGCTCAGACCCCAGAAAACTGAGGAACAAGCCCCATTCCCAACCCCCACCTCCCAGACTTTCTATTCCTCAAGGTGAAAGTGTTTTTAAAAAAATTTTTTAAACTCAGAAATTGTGAAAAAATTTTTGAGTGTAGTACAGGCATTTTAACATGTTACATTACATGTAAACAAACAAAAGCTCATGACTACATCAAAAGGATTATATTAGTAATACACAATCAAAGCCGATTTCCAGTTAAATGTAGAAAAACTTGTGGGTCCATCAGGACCACCAAACCTGTATCCCCTCACCAGATTTCTTAACACATCACCCTTGATGGGGGAATTTGCACAGGAAGAGGAAATTCGAAGTTGAAATAGAAGTGGAGAAAATAACCCATAGACTTTTTTTTTCTGTATATTTCGACTTGAAGATTGAATAATATCCAGTAACAGCACATAATAAGGGGAAACTATTCCACTGCAAATATTTCATAAAGCACCCTACCACCACTTACTAAAATTTAAATTTTTTAATTTATTAAAATTAAAATTTAACATTATTTAAAATTGGGGGAGAGGTAAGTTGATCATTTAGAAGGTCAAATGATTCAACTGAAATAATTTGTGAGACATTTTTTTAAAGAGAAATTTAGAGGCATAGTCCAAACATCTATGAGTCCAAACAGCTCTTTTTCTTCCCCAACAGCTTCACATCCCAAAGGCATCAAATATTAAAAGCAACAACAATCCTAGAATACTCCTTGATGACATAGCCCCTTTGTGTACATTATAATACTCCAACTGGCCAGAGAGACAAATAAGTAGAAAACGTCATGTCCGAAGAAAAGACCTATGACCTAAGTTTATATGGGGCTCCAAAGAGCTTAGAAGAATTACTATTTAGAAATAACTATAAATGAACTACCTTCTATATGATCCCTGTTTAAGAGAAGATTCTCTAGGCTGAAAAAAATTGTCTACTTTCAATTCATCCACTTAGCCAAAGGTCACCCTGTCCCAGTGGGTGGGAAGACCAGGCTCGGAGAACACCCCCTCCCCCCTGCCCTTTCCCCCTCCTTCCTCTCTCCTCCCCCCCTCCCCTCCCCTTTATCTGCTATCTCCAGCCCCAAGCGAAACCCTTGAAACAAAAGTCAGAAATTAGGGACGTGTATTTTTTGGTTATTTTCGCTTTTTTCTTTGTTTTTGGTGTTTCCTTTCTATCTGCAAATTTGTCTAACTTCTTACTCGCAGAAGAAGTCAATATCCTGGAAAAAAACAAAAGCAAAAAAAGATTGAACTGAGCGTGCAGGGTCAGAAAACAGATGTAGATTCTTTACTTCAAATCATATGTCATCAAAGGGAAATTTGGATTTAAAATAAGCAATGTCTGAACCCCAAAGACTATGACACAAGTATTACTTTAAGTCAAAAACTACTTAAAGTAAAGATTCTCAAATACACTTTTAATTTATGGTTATTTGACACTCTCAAGCTCAATGCTAAGACATGATGACAAGCGAGTCGCATTTGTGTAGGTTGGGCAATGTTTTGAAGTTATTTTGCACAGCCGTTAGCTCCAGGAGAATCGTTTCAAAACAACCACCTTGCAAAGTAGCTCAAAGGGGATCTTTTATTTCTGTTCTGGGTATACAAGACCCCAGGGCATTAGGAAGAGTACAATTTTTTTTCATGCATAAGTAGAGTCTATCTATCACAAAAGTAGGCATTCAAACATTTTCCAGAATGTTTTGATTTTGTCAAATACAGGTGCTGATTTTTTTCTCAGCCCAAGTCTTTAGTCAACAAGTGTACCCATCAGTTAAGAGTCAGCTAATATTATGTTGGTTTCTTTCTTTGTGACATGGAGCCCTTTCCAGGATAACTTGCATCTAAAACAAAGGGGGTTGGTAGAGAAATTTCACTAACCTTTCGACATTGATAGTAGGTATAAAAACTCCCCCAAATCTCGTTGTCTAGAGATGTCACCACTGAAAGTGTCGGGGGGCTTTTCATGATGCACCTCGTAAGTTGCATGATGCATTATTCCCACCTGCCTACATCTACATTATTACCTTGAGATCTGAGTCCTTCCCTGGCACCTCCAGGACGCTTACCGTGGTGGGAACTTCCTTGGTGGCTTCTTGGTACACGTGTTGCTCCTGGACCAAGTTGCTGGGGAAATAACCCACAGTTCCCATCTCGTCCTCAGGTTGATCGCCATAAACCTGAGTGCCCAGAAGTGTCACAGTGAGGGGAAAGCTGATGTGAGTCGTCTTTTAGAAACCCTCAGGCATCCTCTTTGCTATCCATGAGAATTACATAACTGCCAGTGCTTTGCTTCTCAGTCTGGATTCTGGGGGGCTCAGACCCAGATTTGAAGTCAACCCACAGAAATTGTGTGTGTGTTCTTTTGTGGCCTAATCTTCCCGGTCTCCCTACTTTAGCATTTCTCTATGCAATCTTGTGAGCTGCCTGAAATCTTTTTTGGAACCCATAAATAAAGTCTGCACCTTTTTAAAAAAGGTAAACAGACACTGTTATTTTAAAGGACTTTTAAAGGACTCTCTCTATTTTTAAAAATTCAGATGAACAGGTCTCAAGTGAATCTAAGATTTAATTCTTTATTACTTGAGAATTTATCTCTGGTGCTGGAGCTGCAGCTGCAGTGGAGGACAGTATATCAATCCCGCTTCATCCCTCCCTAGGGCCCACCCCTGCACGTTTTAACTGAAGAAAGCAGATTCTTTGGAATTAAAGACGGTGCTAAAGTTTCCTTAAAAATATTGAAACGTAGCCTGACTGCCAGTACACATGCCTTTTACTTGGCAAATCCACTCAAATATTTTTGAATAAGTTTCAAACTCTTTGGGATGTTCAAGCCCCCATGTGTTTGACTAGATTTCTTGCCAAACCATCAAATAAACCTACATTTGGTTTTGTTATGAAATTTTCTTTGTTTCTTCAAAATGCAATAAAAGCAAATAGATATGAATTTTTGCACTGGTATCCACAGCATCTATATTGTTCTTAACAGCTAGTTTTAAATATTAAAAGGCATTGCAGATAGGTAACAGAGGAAAAATTAAGAGAAACATATGTCAAGATGTGTATATATATTAAATAATCTCGTCTTACACTGCCAGCCCAAAATTCTCCAGCTTCTTTTTCTTTTACCAGCTTTGAGTAAACATAGATCCACTGCCCTTTTTTAACGTTAATGAATCTACAGTCTGGGGCACTGTAATCTTCTTGAGCTCGGGCCAGAGAAATAGTATCTGGAAGAAAAAAACACTGAAATGTTTATCTAGAAGAAAAAAACATTGGCTCCTGGATTTTATCACAGCAAAAAGGCAGAGCATATAAGAAAACTAGGAAATCAGAGTGACTAATACCTCCTAATTTATAGCTCATGTTCAGTTCCAGAAGATAACTAAGGTATTAAAGCAGCACCCAGCAGAATCTTAGCCAAGTGAATTCTTCATGGTAAGACACAAAAGGCACAGACCAGGAGAAACAATGCTAATCCCATGCACATTAGAGAAAATTCACTTACAAGTACAATTAGATTTTATGCTATTGTTGCATATTTCTTTTTTGATTATATAATAGAAAGGTAAGGAAAGGCATAAAAAAGTCCTTACAGACACACTCGTCATCTGCACACAGCTTCCTGGAAGCAAGTCTGTCCATAAATATTCCATGCACGGCACATATGGCCACAAGACCTGGGAGGAAAAGTAACAATAGTCTTGCCATCTTCCTTTTTTGCTGTTTTTGCTTTTGCCCTTTGAGTGGAAGTGGAGACTGACTTCAGTGCTTCCTGTCTTTTATGTGAAAGCCAGACATCTGGGTAAGTCCCCCCGGCCAATGGGGAGGTGGCTACCGTTTCTCTGCTTTCATAACAGCTACTGGGCTCTAGGGGCTAGTTAGCATCTGATTTCCCAAAGAGACTCAAACTCTGTGTCTTTTTTACACAGAAATTGTATCCAAAATGATCCACCATTGTTAAAGTCACTTCCACTGTGGTTTATTGTATCAGGAAGACATTGTTGAAAGAACTATGAGAATTTCAAGTCATTTAAAAAATGTTTTTAGTTCAAACCTCATAGTCTTTCAATGTATGAGCAAAGATGTACTAACTGCAGGAAACTGTTGAAGATGTGAGATCTATACCCTTAATACAAATAATTTTGATTTAAACATTTAATAAACATCTGGATTTATATAATAGATAAGTCAAGGATGCTTACATTTACAAATCACTCATGATAGGATTCTTAGGAGTCATGTCTGTTGGGGCAAGCATGGACTGTAACACAACAAGACCCTACTAATGGGGGGTGGTGGGGGGAGAAGGGGTAGGTGGGCTGGGAAAAATGGAACAGGCTTTTTTTCTACCTCCTCTCTTGGAGATTTTTGAAATTCAGTCTCAAAACGCTCATGGCTCATAGAGGAGGGAGTAAAGCTGGAGGTTTGTTTCTCCTCGAACCCCCATGCCTCCCTGGCCTGCTTCAGGGCATCTTTCCCATGGGAAGAGGGGCACAGTTACAAGTCATCAAAGTTGAAGCGCTGGGACTTCCCTGGTGGTCCAGTGGTTAAGACTCCGTGCTTCCAGTGCAGGGGGTGAGGGTTTAATCCCTGGTTGGGGAATTAAGATCCTGCATGCCACGTGATGCAGCCAAAAAAAAAAAAAAATGGACAAAGTTGAAGCGCTAATACCTGTCCCCATCTAGTCAACAAATATTTCCTGAACACCTGCTATGTGCCAGGCACTGTTGTAGGCATTAGAGACAGCCATGAATTAAAAAAGGTCTGGACCCAAGGGTTTACTTTCTATTGGGAGAAGGAGACAATAGGTTTCTGCATGTCGTAGGGTGTTTGGGATTTTTTTTCTCTCATAAGGCGGCCCCCTGCCCCCTCATTATTTCTAGACTAGAGGCCCTGTCAGGCTGCCCTGTCGAACTTGGTTGCTGATAAAGTTTTAGAGCAGAACACCCTTTTCTCTCCCCCGAAACACTGTCACCTGACAAAATGAGGGACGAGCATTCAACTTACAAAATAGGTACAAAACTATTTTCCAAGGGATAAACTGGTAAAGCAAAATATAGTACAATGAAAAAGTTTGATTGTTTTAGGGATGTGTGTGTATGTAACGAAGTTTTACCGTTTGGGTGTGTGTGGTGTAGGGGTGGGAGTGGCGTGTTCTTTTCAAGGGAGGATCTCTTACACGGCTGGCCCTGATGTGGAAGCTCGTGAAATCCAATATCTTCATTATAGACGAGGAAGCTGAGGCCCAGCACAGGCCAGAGCTGCCTTTCTTAACCACACCAAGGGTCAGCCAGCAGGATTGTAGTCCAGTGCTGTTTCCATGCATCCACTATCAACTTAGAATTGGGGTTTTAAATTCTTTATTTCCTGTTTCACTTCAAGGAAGGGATGAATTAGAAATCATTTTTGAAAGCAGAATGCCAGTGCATTTTTTCTTCCTATAATCTAGGGGCCTAAGAGGATCTCTCGGAAAATGAAAGCATCGATCAAAAATCCTCTTTATCCTGATCAGGCAGCTGTTTTACAGACTGCGACAGTCTCCAGCCAGCTGTCAACACAGGAGAGTCAAAAGACAATTGCCGTTTAAGAGGCACTTTCAGAAATGAAGACTGCGCAAACTCAGATGGCCACACCCTAGGCAGGTCCCCAAAGCAGAGTGAAACGTTGAATACAGACACGTCTGAGCTGTCACAACAACTTAGACAACTAAGCTGATGCTGACACAAAGCCATCATGGGCCATTTGAAGGTGGAGAACTAAGAAAAGAGATGCCAAGCCTTCTGAGTGCATCCTGGGCAGGCCTGGTACGTCCCAGCATTCTGCAGTAGGCAGAGACCAGGTGAAGACTAGAGGCCTCTTTGTAAAATTTTGCTCACAAATAGGAATTTAAACTTAGAATAACTCAGCAAGCTGTCGTGGCCGGTAGCACACTCGAGTTACCACAGCACATTCGGAGGGTCCAGAGAAGGGCTCTGCCCTGAGCTTACTTCCCTCCTGCTTCTGGATTTTCAGATAGATTCTTTGAGCCTTTAATCCCCAAAAGACATTTTTTTTTCCTTTAGTTCCTAAATTAGCTTCTCAGTCTGGGGTTCTTAAAGTGGAGGCTGTGGTTCCTTTAGGGTCTAAAAATGGGCTTTTACAGGGACTTCCCTGGTGGCGCAGTGGTTAAGAATCCACCTGCCAATGCAGGGGATATGGGTTTGAGCCCTGGTTCGGGAAAATCCCACGTGCCGCGGAGATACTAAGCCCTTGCGCCACAACTACTGAGCCTGTGCTCTAGAGCCCGTGAGCCACAACTACTGAAGCCAGCATGCCTGGAGCCCATGCTCTGTGGCAAGACAGGTCACTGCAATGAGGAGCCCACGCACAGCAATGAAGACACAACGCAGCCAAAAATAAATAAATAAATTTATTTTAAAAATTAATAAATAAAATAAAAATAGGCTTGGGCTTCCCTGGTGGCGCAGTGGTTGAGAGTCTGCCTGCCGATGCAGGGGACACAGGTTTGTGCCCCAGTCCAGGAAGATCCCACATGCCGTGGAGCGGCTGGGCCCGTGAGCCATGGCCACTGAGCCTGTGCATCCGGAGCCTGTGCTCCGCAACAGGAGAGGCCACAACAGTGAGAGGCCCGCGTACGGCAAAAAAAAAAAAAAAAAAAGGCTTGGACAAGTGGACGGGGTGGAAACAGCCTCCTCGCCTTGACGTACAAGGCCCTGCATGATCTGGCCCCTCCGCCCCTCTGAGGTCACCTTCTGTCACTCCCCCTCACTGGCTCTGTTCCCGGCACACCAGCCACTTGAAAATGCGAAGCTCATTTCTCCTTTAGGCCCTCTAAGCTTATTGCCTGGGATACTTTTCCTCCAGATACTGGTCTTCTGCTCTCTGATAGTCAAGATGTCTCCACCGACAGACCAGTTTAACAGAGCCAGTCCCGCACTCCCGCAACCCAATCCGTCCATCACTCGACCAGTGGACACTGTTCTGATGCACGTTTCACTACCTGACATGCCTTGTTTACTTACTTGGTGATTTGTCCCCCTGACACCACAATGAAAACTCCACGAGGTGGGGACGTCCACTGCTCTATCTTTAGCACCCAGAAAAATACTCGGTACTCATAAATAGGTATTCATTGAATGAATGCATGATCCCCGAAATTATATGCTTAGGTGTATACATGCATGTGTACTCTTTTTTTCTCGGCAAAGTCCCTAGGTTTTATCAGGCCTAAAGAGATGTTCGTTACACCTCTCAAATTAAGACTCATTGACTAAATGATTAGGGCAGAGATGCTGGGGTCCTGCCATCAAAGCATGGTCTCCAGACCAGCAACTTTAGCATCACTTCATAAAGTCTCTCAGACCCCAGCCCAGTGCTGCTAAATCGGAATCGACTTTTTAATAAGATACAAGTGATTTGTATGAACATTAAAGTTTGAGAAGTGCTGCTCGAGGGCAAATCAAATACAGCACAAATTTTTAGCCAGGATTTCACATTCGTCATCAGGTCTTTGCTGGATACAACATTTTCAAGGGACAAAATGCCTGTTAAGTACCCAAACAAAATACTTTAGGCCTTTAAGTTTAAAATGGAGATGTGAGACTCTCCGAATAGTTTCCATTTTGACGCTATCTTCTATAGACTACCTTTGAAAAATATAATTTGAATAATCTAATCATATAAGCCACTTCATAAAGGTAGAAATCTGCTTTGTTAGTTCTTAACTTTGACTCACGTTGGACTCAATCGGGGAGCTTAAGAAATATTGACGACTGGGTTTCACCCCTAGAGATTGGGATTTAATTTATCTGGGGTGTAGGTTAGGGATGGGTATTTGAAAATATCTCCCAGATGATTCTAATATGCAGCCAAAGTTGGAAGTTAAATTCAAGTTGAAAACTGCTATATTTAATGGATAACAACATCTGCTCCCTCTAGACCCGCCGTGCAACTCCCACAGATCAGTAAGTTAAGGATGGTCAGAAGATCCTAGTTTGATCGAATCTTTTTCAAAATATAGTTACTAAATACATGGAGATTAATGGGCCTCGAGAAGAATAAGTTACAAGTAAGGAGAGGGGAAAGGCTAGAATAAACTCAGTGCTATTGGGTTGCAATCAGAGGTACTGTTGCAAATTCATTATTTTTAGTATAAAAGGTTAGGACAGGCTGAGGAACTGACAGGAGACTAAAGAGACATGACAACTACACTCAACACATGATCCTGGATTGGATTCTCGGGTCATGATTGGGACATCGATCAACAGGATGGGGATTTCCCTGGTGGCACAGTGGTTACGAATCCACCTGCCAATGCAGGGGACACGGGTTCGATCCCTGGTCTGGGAAGATCCCACATGCCATGGAGCAACTAAGCCCGTGTGCCACAACTACTGAAGCCTGCACGCCCTAGCGCCTGCATGCCGCAACTACTGAGCCCACGTGCCGCAATTACTGGGCCCACGTGCTGCAACTACTGATGCCCACACGCCTAGAGTCCATGCTCTGCAACAAGAGAAGCCACCGCAATGAGAAGCCTGCGCACCGCAACGAAGAGTAGCCCCCACTCGCCACGACTAGAGAAAGCCCGCGCAGCAACGAAGACCCAACACAGCCAAAAATAAAATATAATAAAATACAAAAAAGTAAATTGGATGAATGTTATTCCTTGATGTTGCTGGTCATCTAGAAGTTATGTGGAAGAGTGGTCTTGTACTTAGGAAATTCACACTGAAGTTTTTAAGGGGGTAACAAGCGATCAGGTCAACACACTGTCAAATGGTTCTGCTAGGGCTCAGGGTGGGCCTCCCCGAAATAAGGTATATTAATTATTTTGAATTAGTTACTTAAGGAACCGCCAATGCAAAAGTGACACCCTGACCCTCCTTTCTGTCAACCAGAAAGCAGGAAATAAACCTCTCATGTGCAAGATGCACCCCCTGCATCTAGAGGTAGGACACCACTTTCACCAGAGATAGGGAATTCAGGTCAAGAGGCTTGTATAAACAAACCTTGTTACTCCTTTACTACCTCAGGGTCGAACTGTTCAGATTCTTCACTAATTGAGCACCCCAAACCTAAGTTTCTTTGCCGTGTCACTTCATCTCTAGTTTATTCCTTCTTTCTCTAGAAGGTATAAAAGCTGCCTGCTTCGGCCACTACTTAGGTCTCATTTCTGAGACTTCTGTCTGCATGAATTAAAATTGTTTTCCCCCATTAATCTGTTTTGTATCAATTTCATTATTAGTCCAGCCACAAGAACTCAGGAGGGGTAGAGGGGGAAATTTCTCGACAGTTCAAAAATATGTACGGGAGCTCTGCGTACTATTTCGGCTTTTACATAAATCAGAAAAAATTTCAAAATAAAAAGCTTTCAAAAGTAATCAAATGTCACTCCTCTGCTTGAAATCTTCTTCTAACAGAACGTATGTCCAACACAGACTTGTATGTGAATGTTCACAGCCACTTTATTCCTAATGGCCCCAAACTGGAAAGAACCCAAATGCCCATCCACTGGCGGAACAAACTGATCCACGCAACAGAGATGAATCTCAAAAGCATCCTAGACAGGGCACAGTCACAGTGACAGAAAGCAGATGGGTGGCTGCCTGGGGTCGGGATGGGGGGATAGACTGACTGCAAAGGGGCATAAGGCAGCTCTTGTCTTTGAGGGGTGACAGAACGCTCTATATCTTGATTATGACTCTCACACAACTTATACAACTGCCAAAACTCATCAACTATTGATAGAGTACTAAGAGTAGCAGGGGCTACGAGCTCTGTAGTTGTGGCTCGTGGGCTCTAGAGCGCAGGCTCAGTAGTTGTGGCACACAGGCTTAGTGGCTCCGCGGCATGTGGAATCTTCCTGGACCAGGGATCAAACTCGTGTCCCCTGCACTGGCAGGCGGGTTCTTAACCACTGCAAAACCAGGGAAGTCCTGTGAAACATCTTCTGAGACAAGCTAAGGACAGTCACTGAGAGCAAGCAGTTAGAAAATGTACTAGCAAATGGCATTGCTGTCAACATGCAAGAACATGGTCTTTTTTTCTAGTAACTCACTGTTAATACATTTTATGGACATACATGAACTTGACAACTAGGTTAAAAAGTTATTCATAAGAATCAGACTCTGCAGGTGGAAAGTTAAGGGATAAAAATTATTCTGGGGGCTTCCCTGGTGGCGCAGTGGTTGAGCATCTGCCTGCCGATGCAGAGGACACGGGTTCGAGCCCTGGTCTGGGAAGATCCCACATGCCGCGGAGCAACTGGGCCCGTGAGCCACAACTACTGAGCCTGCGCGTCTGGAGCTTGTGCTCCACAACAAGAGAGGCCGCGATAGTGAGAGGCCCGCGCACCGCGATGAAGAGTGGCCCCCGCTCGCCACAACTAGAGAAAGCCCGCGAAAAGAAATGAAGACCCAACACAGCCAAAAATAAATAAATAAATTTTAAAAAAAAAAAAAAAAAAAAAAATTATTCTGCTTTTTCCTCCTCATGTATGCACAAGAGTGATGTGATAAAAATCTACATAACTCTGAAAGTGGTCTTCCTATAAATATGTATCCCATATATATTCAATACATAAAAAAATCTAAGTGATAAGGAAAAGTCTTGTTCCAGGAAATATTAAAACAGGAACACAAAAAGTGATTAATAGTCACTTTACCATGCACTATACATAAAAAATCGTCCACTTCTATAGACACCTGTGGTTTTGCTAGCAGGGGACTTGAATCAATAGCCTTAGGTAGAAATCAAATACTACAGAAAATGAGCTTTGGAAATATCTGAGCATCAGTGTTCAAGAAGCACAAAGAGGCAGCAAGATTAGGATTGGCAACCTTTGCAAGTCAGCCTACTAGTCTTCAAAAAGATTACAGACTAAAAATCTTTCCTTTGGAGGTTGTTCAATAATGAGGTTAATAACTGAGCAGGTATTCCTTAGGAACGACCCTGCCTCAAGAGGGTAAGAGCATAAAATGTGAAGTCTAAAGACAATATTCCCTTTCCATCTGTTTTCCCAGAAAACAGTAAGTACAGTTACTCCTAAATGGCCTTTATTCAATTAAAAACTGAATGAAAAGATGTGTGAAATGTCTACTACCAGCAAATACCATGCTCATTTATTTGAATACGAAGATGAATTTAGATCCTGCCCAGGTCCCACCTTCTTCTCATATCCAGGATATCATTTTTATCATT